CGTTACCCAGTCTCCGGTTGGATTGTTATGGTTATATCGTATATGTATCTATGATATTCGCCCCAGAAGATCATTATTGCATCATTTTTCATTTCTTATATATAGTGCGTAGAGGTTTTTATTTTTATAACAAGAACCATTAAAAAACGCAAACAAGTTGACCGCCCAGCAAATAAATAGTCATATTACCCATAACATAGACGCGAAAAATACAATAATCACCACATCTCTTAACTCGTGTCTTGCCTATGTTTAGAGCGGGTAGTATACGATCTCTAGGTCAATAACTGTTATAAGATATTTCGACATGAATACTTAAAAATGCACACGTAGGGCAAGGGATTAGTAATGGGGACTATTGGCCCCATTGCTAGCAATCACCTGGATTCCATCGTGGTAAATTCCTTTTGAATTCGTCACGATGACCTAACTGAATTTAATTCATGCTCACCGGGGCCCCGCCAGTGAAGAATGATAGGATGAGATGTAACGGTGTAACGATATAGTTAGCGCATCGGGTGAACAAGTTCTCCAAAGTTTCTTTGATTTTCGTGTGTGTGTAGACATACCTGTAGGTATCATGTACCTACACACACTAAAAAATATATAATAAAAAATCTACTAAAATAAGAGCTATTATGTATATAGTGCAGAAATTAAAGAGGTAACTGAACTCCTTTTGAGTGGGTAAGAAAAATAGATCCCATTTCCGCATACCTACGCCTAGACTTATTTTCACTCAATTTGTTTTTGTTTACAAAATAAATGATCTACGTAGTAAACCACCATTTCGCAAACACGGTACAAATATAACTTCTGCAGAAATAAAAACAGGATAAATTAAGATTTATGTAATTAAGATCCGATTCTGACATTAATGTTGATTATATTATCAAATAAAAACATGTAGGCACCTATCTTTATTAGTTTCTTATTTCGGTAACGTCTAGTAATTATTAGTTTTATCTCGATTTGTGTTTTATCTTTTTATAAATTGCTTATAAAAATATTGTCAGTTAAGTAAGTACCTATATACCAAAGTTTTATTCATGTGTTTATTATAAAGATATACTTACATAAATAGAATTCAATTCTTTTGACTTTTGTATTATAAATAAAATGTGTAAATAAATTAACTAATTGTATTTAGATAATTCAACATATTACAAACTATCTTTATAAGACTATATAGCACTTATATAATTAACCTTTTTATACAGAAATTCGCAGCTTCAGTGGAAGCGTTTCAAGGGAACTGTATATCGGGACAATTATATAATTACAGTGTAATAATGCAGTCGTTCCTATCGGCACGTAGGCAGCTATTGTCTCACCCACTTTTCTACATATATACGACTGGGTTCAGTAACCGGCATTTTGTTGGTTATTTTCAGTGAAGTGTATTAATTTTAATATCTACATCATCCATTATTAACAAAATACGCTGTTAGGTTGACAGGTTGTTAAATTGTACAGTCGTAAGCAATACTATCTTAACACTTTAGTACTTACGGAGTAACATTAGTGACTGCTCCAAATATGCGTAGATACTTTTATACATGCCTACCTAATTGCTCACAATAACCAGATGTTTCCGTCAATCAGTTAGGGGCATTGTTAACTCCTTGTTAGCATTGTCATCTGGTAAATGCAACCCTTAACATCCCCAAATTTGAATAAAATTAATTCAAGATGACCAACCGCGAGACTAACGCCATCTCCCGAATAAAATTAATTTGTTACATATTTTCCATGAGTGGGAGATAGAAATAGCAGCAATCTTTATTCAAATAAACATAATATAAGCGCTTTCGAATAGTAATATAATATTTTTTATTCTACCGCTCATTCGGAAAGCTGTCTCATCACAAAAAGAACGTACAAGAAACTTGCATCTTGCATTTTTAGGGAGCCCATAAGATATTGTAGGTACTCTTTCTTCCCTTACGAGCAATTCTAATATCAACCGACTTTAAAATGAAAGTTGTTTACAAATTCAGTTTTCATTAACATTTTCCTTTTGAACAATGTCTGAGCGTCGTGGAAAAATTATGAAAAATTTATTTACTTAACTAAGAATTTAATGACTCATTCGAACAAAACAATAGACTGTGGTTTCAGCATCTGAACGAATATTTACATGTAAGAAATCGGTTATGTACAAATATTATTTGTGACTCAATAATAATTGATTTATAAAGTATGTCTGCCTACCGATTACTATAGTGTTTCATATTCAAATAATAAATTCGCATAATATACATATGGTTATTAACCAACTTCAAAATAGACACAGAAATTAATCTTATAGATATTATCTATAATATATATATTTTTATAGTATAGGGGATTAACGAACTTACGGCTTACCTGATGGTAAGTGATTATCGCAGCCAATGATCACCCGCAACACCAGAGGAATTACAATTGCTTTGCCGGACATTTAAGATATTATCCATAATATACATATTTTTATAGTATAGGGAACTAACGAGCTTACGGCTTACCTGATGGTAAGTGATTACCGTCGCCCATGATCACCCGCCACACCAAAAGAATTGCAAGTGCTTTCCCGGCCTTCTGCCGGCTTTTTTCTTGAAGGTTTCAATATCGTATTAGTTCGGAAATACCATTACTGCAAGGTGATTCAACAATGTGTTTGTGCGTGGCAAAATGTTTCTGGAAAAACGTACGGTACTTGGAATGTATGTATGTAATATAAAATCAACGCAATACAGCGTGACATAAGAAATGTTAAGTGAAAAGTTTTTGTATATCTGCAGTGTCTTCAACACTAGCGTACCGTCTCGACTTTACCCGAGTTGAAGGAGCCTATTTACAATATCTTTACGATTTATCCAAATTATACTTTAAATTGAATTGTGGGTGGGTCCCACTACAATTTACAATTTGAAGTATATTGAAAAGAAAGCAATAATTTCGAATAACACTAAATCCCAAGTCCATTCACTTCTATCCTAATTGGATTTGAAACGCTGGGGGTCATCATCATCTGTTTCTTCCTTATCCCATTTATTTGGTGTCGGCGTAATATGTTTTTCTCTTCCATTCATCCCTGTTCGCAGTTATCTCGTTATTTACTTTTTTTCTTACCATATCATCTTTCACACAGTCCATCCATCTCTTTTTCATCCGTCCTCTACCCTTATAACCATCCACATTCATATGTAACACCTTCCTTAAAATTTTACCTTCATTCCTACGCATTACATGTCCATACCACGATAGCCGATTACTCTTCAACCTCTGCAACACCGGCGCCACTTTCATACTTCCTCTAATGTATTCATTCTTTATCTTATCCATTCTTGTCACACCACACATCCACCTCAACATTCGCAATTCAGTTGCATGCAGTCTTTCATCCGTCGCTTTTACGGGCCAGGACTCTGATACATACAAGACAGCAGGCCGGATCATGGTCTTGTAAATTTTTCCCTTAAGCTTAAGGGGAAAACGCGAGTCACACGTCGTTGCCGTAACCTCATCCAACCTGCGTTAATTCTGTGCTTTATGGTCCTGTCTAATTCACCATTGCTTTGGAGGAGAGAACCTTGGAATCTTTGAATTTGAAAGGCTGGGGGTAATCACACTAATGTGTGCCATAACTGCTTCTTGTCTGGTCGTCCTCACCGCCACTTCCCCTTGAATCCGGAATTCCCGGTGAATGTCTCGACGGTCTAGCGCTTTAACACACTGTCTTACTTCTGATGTTCGCGGGTTCTATGCTCACACGGTACAAATGTTCATAATATTTATTGGTGAGTTTGCTTGTTAGTTTCGGTCTGGGTATTTTTAGGTGTATTAATTATGTAATTTAAGTATTTCCATCAGATATTTAGTAGCTGTAGTTCGAGTTTTGCTTTATTTGGGATTAGTTAGCGCTATGAGCATTCCATGATTATTATTTATTTGTCAGTAAGGGTTAATTGTCCTCACTTCATCCTGTTATTATTATTGTCAATTGTTGCACTGCCAGTGTTACATTAGGCTAGCAGGGAGGACACGCCATCACGGTTTCATTTAGAATAAACCTTGTATTAATGCTAGATTAAATAAAAAACAATCTTGTACATTTAAACAATTTTTTTATTTCTATATATATTAAGTACAATTAATATGATATGTTTACAGGTACATAAAGCAGGGATAATAATAAATAATATTTTATTAATTAAATATTAGGGTGATATGCGTGACAATTATTAATGATAACAATAATATTAAGTACAGCCATCCTAAATTTCATTGCAAAGGTTAACTGGCAGAATATGCTACCAGTATAAGTCAACCAATTAGAACAAATCTTATGGTCATTAAAATTATTTCAATAAATAAATATTACTACATTCAGCAATGTACACCGATACATATGTTTCATTGTATAAAAAACTTACCTAAAAAATTGTGACAATAAAGGTTTTTTTTTAAATAATTTATTAAAGCATATTTTATATAAAATGTATAAATTTACCTACTGGACTTCTTTTAATTAATAATAGAAAACTATTATTAAAAATTAACAGTTGACAATAAATAATATAAAAAAATACAGTCTAAATGAGATTCCTTTCTTCCTCGAAGTAAAAATACAAAAAATAAACTTTAAAAAAACACATCCTTAGAAATATGTGGTTCTTATTTTATCAATGCGTTATAATTTTAATTTTTACATAAACTATATAACAAGATCATTTGCTACCATATGTATAAAGCTAGGTAGCGCTATGTCGTAATTTATATAAAATTAAGAAAACTTTCTATTTCAAAGTCAGAATCAGACAATCGAGATTTTACAGGTCTAAAGCACCTGAGAATAGCCCAAACCCCTCAATAAAAAAGGGTAGTTGAGGGTATGGGGATTGTAAGCAATGTGAGCTGTTGCACACATCGCTAGCAATGTACTATTGTCAAGTCATTCTGAGTATTCTGGAATAAAAGAATCATTGTAACTCCCAACGACGCTGAGAGTAGACAATGATTCTTTTTCAGTGGTACTTACGCAAAACTTAACATATGCCCATATCTCAAGTTAGACGATTATTAGTAATGTGGATTGATGACCCATTGTAGTAATGTACCATGTCAGGTTGACATCTATGTGAGTCCCCCTGGAAACCATCGTGATAAATTCCTGATGAAATTGGCTAAGTGACCTAAGCTCATATTCAACTTATAATCCTCCGCTGGTGCCCCGTTAGAGTAGACGAGTGCACAACTCCGTTATCATTATTAAATATGGGTAGTTACAAATTAGTAGGCGGGCAACACTGAGATCTTATAATTAATTAACATTAAAACCAAATAGTGAGATCTAGGTTACAAATTGTAAAATAAATTATTAAATATATGATGTTATTCTCTCTTATATAGGATGCTAGCCTCAGTTATTGAATTAATAATCTCATGTTTATGACTATCTATATTATTGTTTATAAACATTAATAATGTAGGTAAACATGTTTAGAACATAATTATGACTTAATTGTAATATTTAATATAAACAAATTGTAAATTGAATAAATTAGTAAAAAATTAAAATATTAGTCTCATTCGAGCTGTAAGCTATCACACATACATATTTTTCGTGCGTATGGAATCCGTATGACACAGACATACAAAAAATTAAAACGTACAACCAATCAAGGTACACTTTACATTAGTACTAGCTACCCGGCTCCGCACGGGTGTACATATATACTTTCCTCTTGAATCACTATATCTATTGCTAAATACTGCATTAAAATCCGTTGCGTAGTTTAAAAGATCTAAGCGAACAGACAGCGGAAGCTACTTCTTTTTATATTATGTAAAGATGATGCGGTTGACATACATACAAATAATTAAAAGGTAAAACCAAGAAAAGTAGACTTTGTATACATACGACTTTGTACAATCGTATTTGTACAAGGTGCATGCGTAGGCACCTCTGTCATACCAACATCAGCCACCATGCCGTATGGCTATGCATTGTAATTATATGTATGTTGTGTTGAACTCAATTTATAATATATAATTGTAAATATTCTACATGTGTGTGTGCGTAATGTGCTTTATCATCACTGAGCAATGGTGTGATATGTACATTTATCAATTAATATGTAATTATTAAAGCTAAAAATTAACTAATTTGACTAATTTTGATGAACAATATACATTGTAATATATTACACTTTGTAATATCAGTCACAATACACTATCTAAAGCTGCACTAGACATATTTATTTATATATTTTGGTAATTAATTGATATATCATTAATTTTCAATATATTCTACTAGATAACCGCAGCCCTGTCTGTGTGAATTGTAGTAACAAACCTATGTGTTAATCAAGGATATGAACTAGTGTATCAAATTTCCATGCACTCATCCATCCTGATAAAGTTATCATTTATTATATTAATAGTACATTCACTAATTATATGTAGGAATGTAATTAATTACTGGTATATACATTCAGCTGTTAAACTGCCACATATTCAGACTACATGCTTCGCGCTCCCGTAACTAGCGCACGCATCTTTATAATTACTCGCATTGAACGCTACAAAATAATCATCATGTATAAACCTCACTATGTTCTCTATAGAACATAAGTACGTCTTGTAAATTTTAACATCATCTATGGGATCAACAACTTTCATAACAATATTGTGACGGGACTTACAGAAACTTAGCTGATTCGTTACGTCTTCGCCGTTGTACACTACGCGAAAGTAGAAATCCTGCGCGACCGCTTTTCTCTTTGTAAACTTGAATTCATCCCGAAGATCCTTCTTTCTGTACACCTCGAAGATCATTCTAGAAGCATACTGAACATTGTAATGTTGATAGTTATTTAAACCTAATGCCAAAATCAAAGCTTGCAATGTTTTGTCGTGGCCCGAGTACACGACGAACTTTGGTTTGTTTTCGGAGATCATTCTTATTATATTTTGTACTATATTATGGATTAAACCATAAGCGACGAGCAACCCTCGCTTCCTGTTATGAACATTCTTGATTTCCTGCCGATAGCTCCACTCAAGATACGCGAATAAAGACATAACATGTTCTTTCTTGATGCAAAAGTCTTCTGTGTTTTCTGGCGTGGGTTCCCGATAGTCCTCATCAAAATCTGTGTCCATTCTTGCATCGTTTGGAAAGTTGAAATCAGCGTCGAGATTTTTCTTCACTATCACAACATCGTCGTATGTGTCAGCGTTATCTATATACCGTTGCTGATAATACAATAATTTCTCCCTTTCCATTTGTGCGTCGAAATCTAACGGCGCCTTTTGTTTGTCTTTACTGTCATAGTACTTGCCTATTATATCTTTCGCTTTCCGTCCTATTTCATTGTTGAAGTCTAATTGATTGTTAATATAGTCCAATTCCATATTGAGTGTGTCTATATCGACATCTAGAAGACTTCTAAGAGGAATAGTATCTGCTCGTAGTTTCTTGTGACCTTTAATGAGGAGTTTAGATTTATGCGTCTTGCTGGGCATTTCTGAGCATGGTAAGGGAGCATCGTGGCACATGTACGCCAAGAGAGCATCACGTACTACGTCAGCGTCAGTGTGCTCCTGAGATTCGAAGAGTACTTTGGACAGCTTGTTGACTAGCTCTTTAATGGCGGGATGGGATTCGAGTCTGTCTTTAGATTGAGACTTTATTTTCCTGAAATTAGAAGTTTTTATATCATTATGGCAGATGACTAGCCTTAATTAATTGCATGTATTACATTGATGTATCTAGGTAACTGTGTACTATAAACAACACCAAATTTCTTGCGATACTGACTTGTTAAGATGATGGTGCGCTGCGCATGCGCAGTCTCTGAAGCAGAAGGCTACGCTGTGCGCCTCCCTGGCGGCGGCCGCCCACGCTCCGGGCCCCGCCCCCGCCCCCGCCCCCGCCCCCGTGGCCGCCCCCGCCCCCGCCCCCCCTCCGCCGCCCGCGCCCCACGCGCCCCACGCGAGCGCCACCAGCGACTGGAACGTCCGCCGGTACCGAGTGCTATACCACACCGCGCGACCTATACATGTATCACATAATTGTAACATATGGATGATCATAATCAGATGATAGCCTCGGTGGCCCAGCTCAGAGGATTAACACACTAACTTACGGTGGTGGGTTTGATTCCTCACACGATCCAAACATTTCTATACATTCATAAGTATGATTGTTTGTCTTAGTCTGGACTTTATATGTATATTAAAAAGCGTTTTTAAGTATTTCTAACAGTTGTCTAGTGCCTATATCTATCTAATAATAACAAATCTTATTATCATAGTCATAAGCCTTATGGCAGATAGTAAGAGAAAAAAAGACAACATATTGACGGATTTTTTTTCTTTTTTTACAGGTAGATGAAAAATCTGTTTCTCATATTGTACAAGAGTTATGTTTATCGATGACCGTGGGTTCAGTTCCCGCACAATGTAAATATTTGTATTTATGGGTATGTCTGTTATACGGGTATTTTTATACGTATATTCTTGTCTATGTACGTCTTTGTAGATAAAAAAATATGTCTAACATCAACTATATAAGATCTTTAGTTTGGGACTAGATGGCGTGAAAATTTACCCGTAGTAATTAATTACTGCTTATAACTGTACATAATATTAATAATTTGATAATTTAACTCACCTGAGTCTTTTTTTCCAGGCACATCCAAATTATGAAGGTCCAATTTTTCACTATATGCTTCCTTTAGTATATTGCCTGTTAAAATAATATATCAAATAAAATGTGAACTAATTGTCCCAAGAGGAAAAAAAATGGAATATAATAATTTTAAAACCTTCATACATACAATTACATAAGAGATATCCAGAAATTACATAACACGATGTAATTTCTGGATATCTCTTATGTAATTGTATGTATGAAGGTTTTAAAATTACTATATTCCATTTTTTTTCCTCACATTTCCGTTTACTTCCATTTCCTTCACATTCACAGTCTCTTAAGGATGGGACAACAAAGTATTACATTGTGTGACAAGCGGTGAGTTTTAAATTCAGTGACGTCATATTTAAAAATCCAATATATCTGTATATATACAATATATTGTAACACGAAATTTAAACTATTAACGGAAAACTTAAAAAAAAATCTACTGGTTTATGGGTGTAATGCAAAATATGTGAAGTTTGAAAACTAATGAATTCGTATGACATGATTTAAGCATGGCCACTGATCAAGTTAATATTACAAATTCAACATTTATATAAAAATACTCATTTTTGCAACCTGCCTGAGCCTGCTAGGCTCCTACCAAATTTGGTTGGCTGGCAGGGAGGAAACACGAGCGGTGAACGTGAGTGTTGATGTACGTCGGCAAAGGGGTCCCTTAAACTGGGAACTTCCTAGGAACTGCTCAGGGTTTCTCTCTCTGCCACACGATGGACCCGGCACCCACACGGTGAATCCATGATAATATAATATAATAGCCCCATTGCTAGCAACGTACCATGTCAGGTTGGCCTCCACGCGGTTCCTCCTGGTAACCATCGTGACAAATTACTGGTGAATTATACCATGGCGAGCTAACTAACCTGACCTTGTGCTCATCTTATCATCCTTCACTGTAGGCAGCTAGTCTAAACCACGGCACGCGCACGGGCGGTTGCACCTTTCCACTATCAACCATACAAATATCCATGGAATGCTAAGGAAAGTTAAGGAAGTTTGTCTCATTATTTATGTGAAAATACTTCAGATCAGTATTCTACCTAAGTTTATGTGAGCTACACATGATACTGACCAACAGTGAGCATCTGCAGGAGGCCTCGCGGTGTGAGCTGTCCGAGGGCGCAGCGCGTGGCGCGGTGGCGGCCCGGCAGCGACGGGAAGTTGTGGAACGGGCCCGGACCCGACACCCACCACGCGCGCCCGCCGACACTAGCGTTCGCCACAAACTGCTCGTAACTGAAACACAATATACGGCATTATTTATTTATTTATTTAATTAATTCACACATATTATAAATACATATACTAACATACATAAGAAATAATAATAAAATATGAAAAATAAAATTGTCTCTATGGTGATGGCATGACGACGGCATTGCCATAGCGCCGATAGACCACCCCTTCGGCCAGTAGTCCTCCTTCATGAAGGTGGGCAGCATATTATAAAGGGCCACGAACGCTTTGAAGTATTCCAACTGTGTCACCCTCAATGTCAGGTTGCTTTTAGTGGATGTAGTCAACAATGTTTGGTAGCATAGTGTAGGCGGGATAGGTACATTTCACGGCACGTAACAAGAAGTTGGGCCCTGTCAGTGCTGTACCACAATGGTTTCGATTGACCCTCTTTGTGCGCCTCTTCTTTTGTACCGTGACAAAACCGTCAGTTATGTAGTTATAAAGTCAGTAGTGAGACTAATATTATAAACACGAAAGTATGTCTGGATGGATGGATGTTTGTTACTCTTTCACGCAAAATGTACTGAAGTTATTTTAATGAATCTAGACAATAATATATAGCGGTAGATTAAAAAAATTTTTATGACTATTCAAAAGTGCTTAAATTAAGTTTATTTGAATAAATGATTTTCTATTCTATACTACCAATAAGTTATAAATTTAAAGCGAGTGAAATTGCAGGCACAGCTAGTAAATATTAAAAGTATATTTTTAATTTCATAATATGTTTTATGTAATTGTAGAGAAAGATTTAGCCCACCTGATTATTAACTATTAACCGTCACCTATGAAAATAAAGAACACTATGGACATCATGTTGTCCCATTATATTCTTAATTGTCATTCTCGATCAGGTCAGGATCGATAAGTAATAAGCAACAATATATTATTTTACCGCTATAAATCACATTTTTAACTAAAATATAGCTTTCGAAGCCTACTAATTAGCAGCAAATATTACGGCAAAGTTACCTATATAGATACCTAAGAATATCCTGAAGATATTTTTGGGTATTTCTTCCTGTGCAGAAAGCAAACTTTGAAAAAGGGTGAGCACAATAGGTCTAGGTTATTGTGCTTCAGGCAATAGACTACACCCCTCATAAAAAAAAACATACACAGATGACTTTGTATAAAGTCTAATTTAACAGGTCTTCAGCTATTTTTTTTAAAATAATAATATAGATTTTTATTTTTGTAACAATGGCCCATTTGTTAGTTTTATTTTTAATCTAATGTTAATAAAGTTCTTACTCATCTAGTAATACATTTATAGTCGTTACAAATTTTTAGACCTACTTTAAAGTAACAAACCTTTTAAGTAATGGTGAAACGGGTGGGGTATCACAAGGCAACTTGTCACCACTCTTGAGATGAGTCAGAGGTCCTCTATCACCATGTCGGGTGACTACAAGGACACCCTGCAGGAGCCAAGTGTCACTGTCCACCACACCTGGAAACCATGAAAACAATAACAAACCCTATACTATCTGAGTAGTAGGCATTCTTTTTCATAATTGGCATTGTTTGTAGTTTGTTACATTGTATACATTTTTATGATAAATTTAATTAAATTAAACGTTTTTATTGAAGAGTATAGTGGAAATAAGAATGAATGGTCATTTCAATAAGACAAAACTTTTAATTGTATTATCTAATGTGTACTGCGAACTACAAGCACATTTTGCAGCCCAAGTCACTCCTAAAGCACCATAATATATTCCTGGTATCTATCTATGCCAAGTCCGTTATATTCTTATATTTATTATTGATATTGTGAAACCTATCATTAGCTACCTATACTGTTGGTTCCTATACCTATATTGTGTGTGCTGTTGATTTCAAAATAAATGAATAAATAAATAAAGACCATCTTGAAATGAACATCTCTTGATCATGTCTATAAAGTTCACTACACACACATGTCTAACAAAGACAAAGACAGATTACAATGATTTAAATTTATTATTAATTTTATATTTTAATGATATATTGAAATGAATGCAATGAAAATATGTTCACTAATATCATCCCATTGAAAATTCTGTACAATTACAAGTTTTGTCTTCATCACATTTCTATTACTACAGACTAGTTGTATGATACACAGTTTGTTGATACATACCTTCAGATCCTCTCACAATGCTGTCAGGTGGAGTACAAACTCTGAGGTACAGCTTACGGAATTTGGAGTCACTTTTTGATATGTATTCATTTTGTACATTTTTTTTAACAATTACTACTTCCTCACCAGCAGACATGTATTTGTACATTACTGTAAAATAATCGTTTTAAATTTTAATACAAGTAAATACTAATATTATAAATATATCTTACACTATATTAATATTAGAGAGAGGATTTTGTCATAAAAATAATGTAGTAATTATTTAATAGTACAATATTATGTGGGTATGTTACTGTTTTTATTATATAATTATCTCATTAAAATAAAGCAGTTTGAGAATGATCTAGCATTTTACTAGAAATAATATTAGGGACCATACGCACCAATTTATGAAAGCATTCTAAAGCTATATGGGCTTTATATATGTTAATATATACAAAACTGACAAAAATGTACCCTGGCGAATCTTGGACTAGCCACTGGATGAATGTTTTTGTTTTTTGTTTCTACTTAAATCTAAAAATATAATCAAACAATGTGAATGCTACGCGTTTATTATTTTTTACAGTACATTGCGTGGGTTCATAATCATCACATGATTGTGACTAAAAAATTCTTACATACCTGTGATAAGGAAGAATATCCAAATGCTCATGCCTAGGTAACAGTAAAAAGCTCGGTGATGAAAGGAAAACTTCATCATTTCTGTTATTATTTTACTTCTATTACCTGTTAATGTTATTGACATTTTTATTCATTTATATATTAACGAAATTTAATTAACCGTAGTCTAAAATCATTACTGATTACTACATTTTTTTGGACTGCAATCATTATTAAGATTTGGAAATAGTAGCTTGTTTCAATACCGACCACAATAATACAAAACAAACAAACAAACAAATATATTAAAATCTACCTCTCTATCATCTGTGATTAAAGACACATAACAAGCACAGACGGACAGTAGAGCAGCGGACAGCACAGAGCAACGAGAAGTTGCCACCACAGATGAGACTAACTATGATTATGACTTTTATTACCACAGAGAAGACAATCAAAATTTTATGACTAAGATGCAGCAGACTGTATTGCTCAATGGACACTATTAAATATCACAACGCTGATATTTGTGAAGAGCATTTACTGCTGTAATAAAAAAAAGCAGTTACCTATTATTTTTCTTATGGCTATATAATGTAATCTGAAAGTACCGAAATAAATGCGTTACCAAACTATAGGGATAACAAAACTCTATAATAAGGATCTCTTATAATTATGTAATATAATATGTAATGTACGCATTATCAGCATATATATAGGTTACAGATATGCTGAGAATAAGCACAAATTTAATAATATACTTAATTTTGACTGTGAAAAACATAATAAATCCTATATGTGATACATTTAGTAAAATACTGCGACTAGTATTTTAATCAAGAAAATATAGGCAGTTCAATTTTAATTATTTCTTGACTTTGATCAGATTTAGATGTGTTGAGTATAGTAAATGTAAACAAATAATTATTAAATCGATTTATTAAAAGTATTTACTATTTTTCTTTACAATTAAAGCTACAAATAAAAAATTATGAAATAAAGAAATTCCTAGGCTAAATTAAAATAAATTTACAACCACACACCATACACATGCATTTAACTATTGAAATATAAAAGTTACAATTATTACACTGTATTCATTATTATTTTCATTTGCTTTCTTTTTCATATTATCAATATATAAACAATATATGATAAATTGTAATCAAATTATTAGCTATTTCAGAGATTGAGATATTATCAATCAATAGATCCTGAACGGAAGCTGGTATATAATACAGCTTGAATACTAACAATTCCCTTTTAAAGTAATAGTTTAGTAATTGTCTACCATTTGATAAATGCAGTAACAAATTATGTCATTATTATATCATATTGTTTACATTCCGTGTGTGAGACACCACTAAAGTACCAAGATAATCACAAGTTGTTACTTTTACTTTTAATAATTTTAAAATAAGTATTGTTAGTGAAAGAATTACATAATACAACAGTCTATCACGCCAATAATACCACCAGACAATAGGCCTGAAATTTTAATTCTATACTTTTCAATAAAATCTAACTGCATGTTTGCACACAATAAATTCATGTAAAATTTTGTATCTTAAATATCTACTTAAACATTGAAATATAAAGTGATCATTGTACACCAGTTGAACCTATTTTATTTTGTGAATGCAACAACTCAAGAAACTCTTGAAGTGACAAATCTTCTTGACAATCTGTATCCAGATCATGTTCTAACTGTGCTTCCAATGAATTGGCCTCAGGGCTAAGCACAATGTTTTCGTCTAAAACAACATGATTCAACCTTGATTTGAGGCTCTGCAGAATCTCTTCCAGCTCCAAACACTTGTTCCGTATTGACGTTCCAAGATCAGACGAGGGGTCAATATCGTCGATAGTCGCGTTTTCGGAGAAAGAATTAGCCGGTGTCCTCGTTCGAGGGGGTTGTATCATTCCAAATAAATTCTCTGCCACTACACTCCCGTTACGAGCAGCATCTGGCGATACGAACTCTGTGAAGTCTGCGAGAATACCGTCGATAATATCCTCTGCGTTTTGTCTTGCGTCAACAACCTCCTCTGGTGTATCAGCGCCACTGTCGTTATTTATCATCTTATTATTTGAATCAAGCTTCATGATTCCTCAGTATCTTACTAAAATATACACAAAATATCGATTTGATGAAAATAAATAATAAATAACAATTTACATTAAATATAGAACTGTTTATGGAAACGAATATGTTCCTTTAGTACATATTTTCAAATTTATTATGAAACCTACAAAGTAAACATAGAATTACTTTGGTACTCAAGAAAATTTATCGAAAGTATTTGGACAATTTACGTACATGTAGTATAATGGAACAAATTAAGTCAGATGATAGCATAAATCACAGAGCACATGCATTGACAGACACTAGACGTCAGTCAGATACAGATAATATTTTGTGACTGAGCTGCAGACGAGTAATTTACGTAATGTTACCTTTATGAATTTAACTTCAACCTTATTTGAAGAGTGCACAGTCAATCAATATTTTTAAACCAAAAGAAATGAATAATTATATTGAATTATAAAATATATATTAAAGTGAATATGATGAATGAAATTTGATACTAAGGTATTCTCTCTATTATACTTTATACATCGTTATTAAGTCTTGAATTCCCCGGTATATTTAAATCTATTTCATCGATGTACAATACACCAAGGCAAATTATTCAATTAAAATTATAAAACATAGAATAAATACGAATTACCTATATGCCCTAACTATATATATAATGAACGTATATAATAAAATTTGTTTGAGATTAACATAATTAAATTTTGCAAAGCGTTGTACTCAAAAGAAATGAAGACATTTGTAGGCATTTTAATTATTCTCATTTGTTACAGAATCGTCGTTGTGGAAAGTAAAGATCGAGGTAAGCTTCTTTGCGTAGTTTTTTCTCTATCTCCTCGCTTTTCATGATCTTCAAAGCCGCTTTGCAGCTGTTATGTGCATGCGCGAAGAAGCAATCTCTGATCGACTGTAAACAAAACATATCTTAGTCTTAGTCATATCATGTGACGACTGTGATACCACTTATGTGTAGCCATTCTTAAGAACTAAGGTGTCATGCCTCTCAATTTCACTGTCTTGTCTCACCCTACACCCGAAACACAACAAAGCACGCTGATTGGCTCCTGAAATAGGTAAGGCACAGACGTAGACACTCACGTAGACGACATAACTTAAACTTATTTACTTTTACTTCGGTTTTGTAATCAAACATGAAACAAATAGCACGAAAGTTAGTTAGTTTTTTTTTAATTAATTGATTAATTTTTTTTTTATAAATGATCTCAGACGAGGTTCGCCTTGACGTGCTCTCAGTCGAAAGTCATACCATTCAACTGGAGTTGACCAACAACCGAATTTCTCCTGGTAGCCTATAAAGACTGGGATCAACAGCTAGAATATTTCTAAAAGAATATCTAACTAGTGGTCACTGAAATTAGCTGAATGATCTTTTTTTATCCACTGGTTGATTATTTCCAATGGATTTTCATTAGCTATATAGTCGGTCTGATATTGTTAAACTCACCTTGAACTCTGCTAACTTGGCGCCTTGGAATTTGGACAGACAGTGCTTGAACAATCTTGTATAATGTTTACGACAGAGGAATATTCGATTCTCGAACTGCCAGTAGTCTCCTTGGGCTGAGCACGAACAGCCACAAACACCGCACACATCCAAGTTGTATGGAACGCATTTTATCTGAAAGTATCTTTATTATCTTTACAAGATTCTTTTGTTTTTCTTTATCTTTACATATAATAAAATCGTGACTAGGCAAAAAACGTCTGCTTGTCTCTTTATCTTTTTGTTCGTGCAACTATTTGTGTGCATCATTCTCTATATATTTCTAATCATAATAAAATTACAATATATTTCTTACCTCGACAGAACATCGAAGGACTTTCTTACCAGAGAAACTATAAGCAAACTTAATTTCCCTTTTTCTGTATTCAGGCCAGTAGTCGCATGGTCTGTAGATTTTTAACATATTTAATACACTTTATGAAATACGGCCTAATCTAGTTATTCTCAAATTAAGCAGGTCGTATGCCGTAGTGTCTCCTTTATTATTTATAGAGATACTGCATTTTTGTATTTTTTTTAAACAGGAGTAACTCCCAGACCAATACTTGGTATTTCATTATACGGGAGTCAAAAGTTAAGTAGTGTGCTAAATCAATAACTGCCAAGATCGTCATTTTATAAGATCATAAAAAAACGTATTAAATGAATTATCTTACGCTGGACAGTCGCTTGCTGTAAATAGAGCTTTTCGTTTCGAGGTAGCGTTAAATGGAGCACAGTTTTGGGGAGTAGGTTTTTTTGGCGGTAGCTCTTTTGGCGGCGGCTGATACTCGTGCTTCGTTTTCCATCGAGAGGACTTTGCCCCTAAACCGTATTTACTATATATCTGTAAAAAATATATCTTAGGACAATTCACACATCACCATCTAGTGCCAAGATAAGAAGAGCTTGCGTTATGGGTACTAAACAACTGATATAAATACATACATACATTCTTTTTGTATATACATAGCAACCAGTCATACTTATGAATACGAATGTCTAAACCGTGCGAGGAACCGAACCCCCGACCATCAAAAGTCAGGCGGTGTGCTAAACCTCTAGACCTCCGAACTACAAAATAATCATTAGGTTCTAACTTTCCTTATCCAGTAACTAATCACAGAATCATCATTTAAAAAAAGTGTACATATATAATACATCAAACAGATTATATTCATTGTCTTCACTCACACATGATTTTCGTAATTTTTACTCATCTCCTCGTCGATGTCACAGTTGGTCATATTAATGTGGCTGAGGGGTAACCTCATAATATGACCTAAACTCCTAGTATGACCTCAGATATTGTACATATAGAAATAATTAAATTAAGAAATGAACAATTTTAATTGCGTTTCACGCTCACCTTTTCATGCTCTCCTTATCATCCGTAACTTTAATTTCATTATTACTGTTTCTTTTTTTTATAATGGATAATTTTAAATTTATTATATAATATTTGAATATATTTATTGAACGAATAAATAATTTAATAAATAGTTTATTCGTTCAATAACGCGTGTGAGTTACAGATAAAATTAATAAATTTGATATAATTGTATTACCCGGTGATTGAGCTCATAAAAAGCGTCACGTTTCTCGTCGTAACTGCCAGGACCCAAGTTAGGTCTTGCTTCACCTGTATTGCGTCTCATAAATGGACTCATGTTGGCTCCTTTCAAGGGCAACACCTCCCGATCTAGTCCAGTGCCAAAACATACGCGGGGAGGTGTTTTCTTCGTTACCACATATTCGAAATCTAGCAGACATGGGGAGAACGTGTGTATATATAATAATAATAACAGCCTAAGATTTGCACACGATTTATTATTATTATAATAATAATTATTATTATTATATATAAGCGGAAGCACTGATCAATCGTAAACACTTATTATTCTGTACCTACGAGTATATGTCAAATCTATATATGTAAAGTACAACGTCGGTACAACTGCAAATTCATTTTACTATAGATGTAGATACCTACAAATTGCTTTTTAATTTTTGATTATTAAATAAAAACTAGCTTGTTTCACATTTATATCACGTAGATGTTTTTACATATATGTATGTATAAATTGGACATGTATATAATTTTGTAATACAATTTTAAATGTCATATATATTTTTAATGCCTTATTTATTAATATTACCGCCGTGGAACGCTTCATGTGTATCAATTATTTGCAGATACCGGCGTTTGTAGGGACGCTGCATGGCTGCTCGTAATCACACACTGACTGGATGCCATCGGACATTTTATTTTGTGCTTTCGTGATCAGTACGGCAATAAAAAATATGACGAATAAGACGATTACATTTTATTGGGGCGCGCGATCGGTGCCGTCTGTAGAGTGTCAATATTACTAAACTTTTTAAGGACTATTTTTTAGATTTAGATATGCAATGCAACCTTCACAGTGATTCCATACGAATTTTTATTACTACTCGCGACTGCGTCTACTCAAATTTTCAGCCTTTATTTCACCTCTTTCATATTATGTTTTTGATAGAAGATAGCGTCCTATGCGTCCTTGCGATACAATCTATTTCAATAGAAGCCGTTTAGTCGTGAAAATGTAAAAAACAAACAGATTGATAGACAAACAGACTTTTTGGCGATTGAGAATAAATTATTTAGATCCGTTATATAGGTATATAAAGTGAAGCATCTTAATTTGTAGAGTTCTTCCCTCATTTTATTATTAAATTGCACGCGTATTTTATAAATGAGAAATTATTTTCATTTTTGGAATATCCACATTACATTCGAACGTTGGGCAACCCGACTGCTGTTCCAAAGTATGGAATAATTTGTGTGCGATAGAAACGAATTCACGAAAAATTGCGAAGGTCATGAAAGAATTAGGTTACAAATATAGGTACATGTAGATGTATATGTAAAATGCATTTTCGATTTTATTCTTACCCAACGTAATATCCCAAGTCATCGTTAATTGTATGAGATTTATATAATTGTTAAATGCACCTTTTCAAATTAAATTCACTGAAAATATATAAATCTTAATCAAATATCTAATGTTCTACAAAAATAAATTATGTTGTAGGTACAATTACATCATTATGAATTATGGTCCGATTTTGGTGATTATTTTACTCACGCGTCAATTTCGTACTGATTTATGGGAAAATTGACTTTTTAGTGGAACGAAATAATAATATTAAATATGCAACAGGCTTATATTTAAGCTTGTCCTACAGATTAAAGTAAGACGAAAAATTAGTAGTTACGAATAGAATGTAAAATCGATTATTCCCTGAAATTGCCTAACGTGTATTGCGTGGGAAATAAAAATGTGCAGAAAGAAAATTGGGCTGTTACCATAGCAGTAGGTACAAATTTTGTATAATGACATATTAGAAACTTTTGTACCGTAAAGAAAAGCCTTTGAATTATATATTTCCGCTTCAATTCTAAAATTATATTATTAATTAAAATTATATTATTATATTATTTTTTAACCAAAATACCAAACATATTTTCGGCTCTTCTGATGGTAAGTGGCTATAGTTGGTATACAAGAACATGACCAGCAATACGGACATTACCTCATCATGTGCTGCCAATGATATCCTTCACGTGTCATCATACCAATAATATAAAAACAATATTTTAAAAAGTTGTCTCCTAATTTTTAATCCATCATGACTTTTTTGCACTCGCACTATTTTCATACTTAGCTGCTACAAACAAGTGCGGACTGCGGTCTTTATGTTAATATATGAACTATCTGCTGATTTTCTCAAATCAGAAAATAATTTATATTATAAACAGTCTTACTCGAAATAATTAACTTCTTTATGCTGTATTGGATCTTATGATCTTCTTAAGAAATAATTATGATATCGCCTGGGATAACTGACGATAAACATAAACACATGCAATATTGTAGTTCATTTCATGGTCAATACCATCTAGGAAACGTATTAGGTTAACTAACATAGGTAGGGGGGAAAGGGGATTAGTTATGTACATTGATTATCTTATTGCTAGCAATGTACTATGTCAGGATGACCTCCACGCCCTGGAATCCATCGTGATAAATTCTTGGTGAATTTGTCACGACTAACTGACCTGACCCCATGCTCATCTTATCATACTCCACTGGTGTCCCGCCAGCATAAACCGTTAGCGCAGGCGGGGAGCACCATTCCATTATCATCAGAAGTAAAAAACAACTAACATAGGTATATACTGTATAACAGGCACCTATATAGAGAGATGTTTAATAAATATGTACCTGTTATAGGTATGAAATATATGCACTTACTTAATATAAGGTTTTTCTAAATAATATGTAATGTTGATTTTAGCCTTTGACATTTTCATTTCTATGCGTTGTCAAAATATAATAAACACTAGTTTTTTTTCGACTACGGCCAAGCAAATAGGAGGGCTACTATAATTTATTGCAAACGCAGTCCATTTATTTTTAAGTTATTTATAACTTCTATTCATTGTTTATTAATACTTGGGAAATCATAAAATTAAAACGTTTGTTTAATTTTCTTAATTTATTTTTGGCGCAATTACAAAGCAGTTTAATTCTTGTCCCAAGTCTGTATTCTCAACTACCCACTGACTGACTCAATGTCAAATTGTCGAATGACAGCTATGTCAAATAGATGTCATCAAAATATATTTAAATGTCAAACGATCGAAACGTGAATTTCACATGAAACATATTAAGGTAATTAATTTTCGTTTATTTACACAACAATAGTGTTTTTAAAAGCAATTACAAACGGTTTGGTCTGAAAAGTTTGACTCGTATGTGTCATAATTACCAGTAAACAGTTTCGTGCTTATTCGTAAGTATGTAACAGCCAACAAAGGTATCATGTTACTTGCGAAGTAATTTTTACTCATTATGTCATACCTGCTAATAGATTTCTCTGTTTTATTATATAGTTTATAACTGAAACGTCGTGAAAATAAAACAAATATAGTACCCTTTTTCATTTCATATATCTTATTTTATAAAGTAATTACAAAAAATTTAGGGAAGATAGAAAATGTACTTTGAAAGTTAGCACTTGTTACACTATTTTGTATTAATATATAAGACTTGGTTCTTATGTACGTAATTGTGAATATATTTATTATTTCTTACAAATTCAACATAGTCATATATATTGGTATGGATGTTACACTATACCTGTGTATGTAATGTCCTTGCTGTTATTTGTATTTGTTAATGTTTTTAGCGGCGATTGTCGCTTCTCTTGACATATGGTGCCAGCATGCTTCTATTTTCAAATCTTTAAAAATGTATGTATATTATTAAATTTGCCTGTAATGTTTATAATTTTCAGAAAAATGTCTTCTAACACTAAGTTTGTAGTTCCAATTGCTCTGGGCTTGTCGTTGGTTACGGTTACAGCCTTTGTGGTGTACTATGTGTTCAAAAAAGATGAGGAATTAAGAGGTGATAATGTGAAGACAGCCAAGGTGAACACCATTGAAGTTAAAGTGCCCAAAAGTATTCTCCCTGCTTTAATAGGTAAGTTTGAGTAGTAATAAATAGTTATATATTTTTTTTATCATTATAAAACTCAATCTTGTAGATTTATCTTACTAATATTGTAAACACAGAAGTAACAAAAATAATGTCAAAATAAAACAAATACAAACATACATCCATCCACAAGTACAAACTTGGACTTGTAGATGCATGTATGTTACTTACTCTTTCACATAAAAAGTATTTAATGAAACTTTGCAATAATATACACATTAGAATAACACAGGCTGTGTGAGAATTTCACACAGCTTGTAAATTAATAAAATGTAATTGATAAGTTTATATAAATTTACATCTATGTACAGTACATCCTGGGGTTTCTGGGGTATGTAGATTACACGGACAAAACCCTCAGGATGTGTTTGTTATAAATATTTGTTTTCATTACAAATCTGTAAACACAATAGACCAAGCGATAGAACATTTTAACCCCTATTAACTACAGAACATTCTATTAAAATTTATATTATCACAGCATCACAAATATTTACTCAAATTAAACAGTTTGTTGACATTATTACATCATCCTCACTTCAATCCTTAGTCACTACTGAACAAAAGCCTCCCCATAATATAAAAAACTCAGGTGGATTATATGTATCATTATGTCATGGTAATCATTTAAAAAAATAATGATGTCATCACTTGAATGTCTCAATGGTCTAGCGGTTTGGCAGACCACTATTTTGTATGGTTGTAGGTTCTTTTGTATTCATGTGTATGTTATTTACAAACAATATCTTTTTAAAACAATCCCCCAATTGTACATATATTAGGTATGTTTTTAACATGTTAAAGACAGCATGCCCACCGGTGGGTCACTCTGCAAGCAACATTACGAGCCCATGTGCTTATGGGTGGGCACACAACATGTTTTACCTGGGGACCGCTTGTACTTGGTCATGATTTAAATTTCAATTTAAGTACAATAGTTCATTCGCTGGATGCTTGAAGAGATACTGCATATAGAGGACTTAGTTTAATTAAAAATAAACAAATGCTCATCCCTATTTGGGAAATAAGATTTTTCAATACGGTCTTCAATGTGTTAAAAAAATATTTTGTTGGTTGTTATCACCCATGACACAAGCTTTGCATAGCTTGGGACTAAATTGCGCTGTGTAAATTATCCTGGTTTATTATTAATTAGTACTAACTGTAATAATATGGAAAATGTTATTTCTGTTAGTGAGTCCTAGAATAGAACCTATTTAAATTTATAATAGCAAGATGAGTTCTAAAACCTGTACACTATACACAATGTAATACTGAGCAATACATACCAATACTATAAATGTGTAAGTATGGCAACCTATTTATGACTAAATGGCTGAACAATCTAAGATACTTAACTATATTGATTTTGGTATGAATATAAATTCAAATTGTGTTTTTAATACACTCTACACAATGTAATACTGAGCAATACATACCAATACTATAAATGTGTAAGTATGGCAACCTATTTATGACTAAATGGCTGAACAATCTAAGATACTTAACTATATTGATTTTGGTATGAATATAAATTCAAATTGTGTTTTTAAGTTTTCATGCAGTAGTCATACATAATCAAGCAAGCAGGGTAGGGTCTCATTTTCTGATAATTAGGCTGCAGCAGTTTACAATATGGTATTCTGGATTGGATTTATTTGTAATTTTTTCCTCCATAGGTGTAATATTGCTTCCAACTCATTGATAGATTGTTTGCTTAATCTCTAATTTAGCTGTGTTTGCTTCAGGCAGGATGTGTCACTACACAAAACAAACACAGTAAATGAAACTAAGAGATTTTTAAATCTAAATATTTATACTGATGGTTAATGTTTACATAATAGTGACTGTACATTGTACGCCTGCATGTAATCAGAATAAAGATATGGAAATGATGTTCATCAACATGTTAATTATTTAATATTATATCAATAATATAAAATCCATATAGATACTTATAGTTCCGGATAATAGAGGATTTACATCTACATTCTACTTTACAAGATGAAGTATAGAAATGTGTATTTTTAAATAAAATTGAAAAAACAAATACTTACGACACATTCTATTTTTGATTTTAATAATATAATCATTTTCTAAGTCCAATCTTTGAAATTTTTAGTTTATTTGTGGGTGAATATCACTTGAACTTGTAAAAAACAAACATTAAATGTTGATAAAAACTCTGTTGTTGCATAATATCATTTTATACAGTATTTTTTAAGATATATATTTATATACTATTCAGGCCGCAGTGGAACCAACATTAAGGAATTGGAGAAGCGTTCTGGTGCTTTGATGCACTTCAAGCAGTTCAGTGACAAGGATTATGACGTATGTATCATCAGAGGTCGTAATACAGCGACACAGCTGGCAGAAACTATGATACATGACTTCATTAAACAACAACCACAAATTGTAGAAGATACAATAGAGGTTCCTGGATGGGCCTGTGGTAGAATCATTGGTGAGTACCTCATGCATTTGAATATATTTTTTATTCTGTGATTCTCATTCAATCTGAGGAAATAGAAAATGTAGTATATGTGGAAAAGAGAAGGAAGCATTATAGACGTCTCTAGCGCACACTGCTGGCGTCATGCGAGCATTAAGCTGCAAACAGCGAATATGTACATTGGTGTATGTCTCAGAACGAATAAATTAGGAAAACCAACAGTACATGAAAGATATTACTATCAATACCATCGTATTAATATCATTCACATCTATATAATTTTGTAATTGTAATAGCAAATAAATGTCGGCTCGTTTCTTAGTAAGTGGCAACCCTCACGTATATACATGAAGAGCACCACAGATATTACGTCATTCAGTGAACGCTACTTACAAAGAAGCTGCTTTGTGACTTGCTGTAATAGGTGAGATGGGGGTACCACACTGTATTACTATTTTATTCAGAGATGCCAAACTACTTTCAATAAAAATCCACATTCAAAACTATTTAGATTTTAGTACTGAATGCCTACAGTCTACGTTTCGATCAAAGTAAAATATTTGTAATCATACATCTTTATCTAAAGTTTTTATGATGCATTACGTAAAATTAGGTACGGGCGGCGAGAACATAAACGACATTAGTCACCGTAGTGGAGCACGGGTCAAGATTGAAACATCTAGTGACAAAAACACGCAGCGGCAGGTGTCCTTCCGAGGAACCAAGGAACAAATAGAAATCGCCAAAGGACTCGTTGAGACCTGCGTAAGATTATTAAATTTTCTGACAACAATAAAATATTTATTTATATAGCTTGATACTTGTATATTGCTCTTTTATATTTTTAATCTAAATCTTAAGAATATTATAATGTTTGTAAGTATGAATGTTTGTTACTCTTTCACGCAAAAACTACTGAACAGATTTTGTTGAAGCTTTACAGTAATATAGCTTATGCATTAGAATAACATAACAAACCGTGGGCACAGCTAGTTTGAAATATTTATATACAGACCAATACCCACCAACTATCAGTAATTCATTACAGTCTTAATACATACATTAAATACACAATAATATGAAATCAGTCATAGTGAACAAACCAATCTCTACTGTAGTAAGAGATATATATGTATGTTATACTATCGTCCAAAGGTGGCCCAGCAGAAGTGCCGACGCGAGATCGACCAGTCAAAGCGTGGCCCTCGGCTAGCGCAGCCTCCGCCGGCAGAGACAGCCGACCGCGATGAGTTGCCAGGTGACACCGCACACAAGCATATCAAATATAAAAAGCCTGGTAAGATACTAACAGCATGCGCTATTGGAGCAATATACACACTATATTTAATACTCATACATAAGCTACCTTTACACGTACGTTCATGCACGCGCGAGTCGGCAGGCAGGAAATAATGAGCACGTAATTGCAAACAAAGAGAACGAGAAAGATTGCGAGTGTGTGTTAGCACTTTTTTGTAATAATAAGTTATCATTGCAAAATTGCGGACTATGGACCAAAGACTATTAAAATAAAAGAAAGTTAAATGACTTGAAACATACGCGCAATCACGCGCAGAGTCAACAACAAAAATAGTTGCAATGCAATCACTCACGATTGCTGGAGCTAGCTTTCCCGCGGCAAATCGCGGGCGCTCCTGCTCCGCATGAAAGAAAATATCGTGTAAAGGAAGCTATTGATTTTTTTAATAGATAAATTCGTATTAAACTTTTCAACCATACAATTTTTATCAAAGGTAGATCGTAAAAAACGTCTGCGAGTCTAACCTATTTCATTATTGAATAACAAAATTATTGAATAACAGGCATATCGACATATTCCTATGGAATGGCAAGAGATGAGTGATATCAGAGGTGTTATATGATAATGTGATGAACGTACTGCTGTTCATGTGTATAGTTAATAGTTACCGATTACCATCAGATGGGCCGCTTGATTTTGCCATTCCAATTACATTAAAACATTCTATGGTTAGCGCTGACAGTAGTGTTATTTCATATTGATGCTAATGCCTGCGCTGGTGATGATATACTGAGTATAAAACAGGTCAAGAATTAATCCATTATGGTTACTTAACTACAATGACTTCCTGAGAGCATCGCGAGGCAGAATAGAATAACACAAAATTATAGCAAATCAACTTTAAATGTATGACTTTAAAGTCGATCTCGCGATAATGCAGTCTATTAAAAATGTGATATCTCTGAAGAATATAGAAATAGGCAGCAACACATGTACATGTAAGTCTGTTTTTACACATGTTACACCCACATACCATGTGAATCATATAGCACTTATGTATTCCTAGTTATATAACAGTACCCTTTAAACCTTTTCAGAAACCAATTACATCGGCAACCAATGTTGTGAAGTCCAGTTTTCACTTAAATTTCAAAATATCAGATATGCCTATAATTTTTTAACTTGAAACTGTATTAATAAATAGTTTTATTAAAAACATTGTAAAGAAAAAAAAGTTTTATTAAAAAAATAAAGAAAAAAATATTTTTTAATAAAAGTAATAACAAAATATTCAGTATTGAAGTTATTTATTCATATAGGAAATTCTTTGATAGTTAACGCATGTCATAACTTTTATCACAATTCCTACCGCCCAGTTCTACTGAAGTAGCTAACTTCAGTCCAGAAGAATTAGTCTGATTGATCATGATTGTATTTATTGGTGTGCCGGTGTGGTGTATATACGTATGTGTATGTATTTAATATCTGTTGTTTTGTGTGTCGTGTGTTTATATGTATATGTGTATTATATTTGTAAAATATTAGTAGCTTGGTAAAGGCAGTACGGGGTCAGGTTGATTGTGTTTGTGAAAGTCCCATTATTGTTTCTTTAAATTATAGTTATTTTTAAACGATGTCAATTAAACACTGTTGGATTGTTCAAATAATCATAATTAGTTATAATCTTTACCTTAATATAAATGTGAAGGAATATGACTTATATTTTCTATATATAAGTTCAATCAATCGGCTTCGCAGGTAAAGACTAGTCAAATATTATAAATGAATTTTCTCCAGTTCTCCAGTTCTCTAGTTCTTCAGTTTTTTATACGTATGATAATGGAATGGTACACCCGCCTGCACTAACCGTGGTTTACGCTGGCGGGGCACCCGCCATATGGTAGAATGAGCCTGAGGTCAGGTCAGTTGGCCCATAGTGGCATATTCACCAGGAATTTATCACAATGGTTCGGCACAGTCTTTTCCTTAAGACGACAGCAGGTTCGATCTCCGAACAGTAATGTATTCATGAGTTTATTTGTTAGTTTCAGAATGTTCTTAGTTTCGGAAGATTGCGCAATATATATTGCCCAGGATCATTTATTTATTAATGTATTCTCGTTTAAACTCAAATATGTGTGTATTACACTATAACAGAAGCGGGCGGCGCGTCTATAGAGGTGTACGTATCAGCGGTGTCGTCGCCGTCTCGGTTTTGGGTGCAGTTCGTCGGGCCCCAGGTGTCCCAGTTGGACGAACTCGTGGCTCACATGACCGACTACTACGGGAATAAGGACAACCGTGCCGCACATGCTGTGAGTATTGTTTAAGTTACTTGAATAAGCAACCAATAACCAAATCAGAAAGTAATTTCTATCAGGTAAGCCATCAACTTTGCTTACCTGTAATTGATAACCGTTTATATGCATGGACACGTCGTGATATCAAGACCACTGTATCTTTCCGATCTGCGGCATTGTGATTAGAGATCTTTTGAATGAGTGGTAGATTAATAGATAACTGAATGAGGTGACCATTCAAAATTTAAGTTTATTTGAATAAACGATTTGTATTGTATTCTGTCGGCAGATATCGTCTGTGAGCGTGGGGCAGGTGGTGGCGGCGGTGTTCAGACATGACGGCCGCTGGTACCGCGCACGAGTGCACGATCTGCGGCCCAACGATTTTGACCCCTCACAAATGGTAACCTCTATCTTCTTTTTCAACGCACTTGTTCGTAAAGAGCATCTAATTTCACTGGTTTTTGATATCATAGCTAATATGTGTTTACGCGTGTTTGGGTGCGTTATAAACGCAAATTGTTAAGTTATATTCCATAACCGTACTTTTTCCTATTATATTACTATATTTGCGGCGCCAGCGCAGTAGGCAGCGCGATGATTTAGAAAAGTAAAGCGGCGGGAAGTTTTAAACACGAAAGGGACTCCTAAGTTTGTTGAACTTATATGATCGTCGTGTCGTGTGATATACGTGCGTAACACACTCGGTTCTAATATACCTTCTCCGTAATTTCCTCTCATGTGTTACAACCATCATAACGCACCTATATCCGTCACATACTATTTTTAACGTGTTTTTAAGACCGTCCTCCCGCCGCAGGGGTGACGAGTGTGTGGAGATGCAGACGAAAGGGGGAGGGGATATCTTAAGCCTCTTATCCTGTAATTTCACTGCTTTATCTCATCCTTCAAGCCAAACAACTTACAAAACAAACTAACTTAAGAATATTGTGTAAACTGCAGGTGGCTGATGTGTTCTACGTAGATTATGGCGACAGTGAATACGTAGCGACGCACGAACTGTGTGAATTACGTGCAGATCTGTTACGGCTTCGATTCCAGGTATGTTAAAATCATCACTAAAAATGAATGAGTAGTCTCTCTGATTCTTTTCACTTTTGTTGTTAATTGAATATAAATATAAAGATTAGACCCAAAAATATTGTAGTCTAAACCAATTATATACAGATTCACTCATATTTTTAGGTCGTCTCTCTATACTTCTCCAATTTCAATTTACCAAATTATACATCAAATTTTTACTTATTTAAAAAAATATTGAAATGTCAGAGTTTGCATTTATTTTGTATATAAGATACTATCAAATTATCTGCATTTAATGCTTAATGGCATAGTGGTAGTTATATATCATAATAAAGGGGTTTCATATATTAATAGCAATAAATAATTAAAAAAATATATTATTGATTGTATTTGACGGTCTCGGTGGTCGCGCATATCAGTCGTCTAGTACCCATAACACAAGCGTTGCCTAGCTTAGGACGAGAGGACGCTTTGTGAATTATGCTGAGATATTATATATGTAAAAATAATATTGACCTCAGGCCATGGAGTGCTTCCTAGCGGGCGTGCAGCCGGCCACCAACGGAGCGACAGGCTCTCCCACTAACGGCTCTCGGTGGCATCCGCAGGCGGTCGAGCGGTTTGAAGATCTTACACAGGTATCACTCTCTCTACATAGTTTTTTTTTGTCATTGAATCACTGAATGACGTCATCAGCATAACTTACCCTGAAACCATATATTTTTTTCGAATCTAGCTATACTATATTGATTTTTTTAGAGATTCTTGATGAGAAATATTATACAATAGTAATTTGTATTTACGGTATTTTTATTTGAGTTTCTATTAAGAATTGTCTGTGTACATATGTTCCCTAATATTGATTTATCTGTGTTGTATCTAATTTTTGTTTTTATTTATCATGACAAATCGATTTTTACAGGTAGCAAGATGGAAACCTCTTGTCTCTCGCACCTGTATATACAAGAAGACGGTGACAGCTGAAGGCGAGAAAGAGAAGGAAATACCTGGTATCAAATTATTTGATGCCACTGAAGGTAAATAAATTTTTTAGACAATTCACACTTTAGAACTCAGTGGAATAAAATATTGAATGTTTTAATTAGAAATTTGTATGATTACAACCATTATTTAAGTTACAACAAAAAGCGTTAAATAGAATAGAATGGACATATTCCCAGATCTTTTATTTTTTTACCTCAAGCATACTTCTATTCTTTTTACCTTATCTAGATCAAACAATGAAGCTGCATCTGTAAATGGTGATAAAATTAAACCCGTGACATATACTTTTGTAGAGGGCGAAGTGGATATCGGTGCGACACTGGTGGCAGAAGGCTGGGCGGATCCAGTCCCTGAAGTGCCGTTCACTCCTCAAGCCTCACATCCTTCCACGCCATTCGGAGACCTTGGAAACTCAAGGTACACATCATCGTCATTACCTGGCATTTATCTCATTATTTGGAGTCTATACAATGTCATTTTTCAATGGTCAAAGAAGAGTAATCTTCTTTGATGCATATTGTCTTTCACACTGTACATCCATCTGTTCTCTAATCATCATATGTATTGTGAAGCATGCATCCCCTTTCATATTAAACACATTCTTCGAATCATAGCCTTCACTTTTTAGGTACCTATACATATCAATAAAGGTTAAAATCTATATGATGACGGTCTTTATGTTAGAAATATTAGTAATTTTTGTTTTATCCAAAATGTTTTAGGCTACAATATTTAAATCAGTTTTTTTGTGCAACTAAACGGTGTTTAATGTTCTTATTATTGAATAAAAATATACTACTGTTGTTATTAATAATGCAATACAAATATTAATATTCGCGATTATGTGTGTTTATCTATTCTGTCTGTTTATATATTGAAAAAAGTTTTAAACTGGGTGTATCTGTTGCATAGTATCCACAGTACAAGTTCCGTTTCGTTTAAGGTTAGATGACGCTGTCTATATTGTTGCCGTATTATAATAATTATTATTGTTTACAGAGTGCTAGGCATGTTATCACCCAGCAGTGGGAGATCTTCATCATTACCCAAAGACCACAAGGATGATAAAAAAACAACCGATACACAATCTACCGACAACAATGCGAACGGTAAGTAACAATAACATACATACTTATGTTTTTATATTGTTAAATTAAATATTTCTTCTGGTCCAATTATTGATTTCTATTATTGTTAGATCTTCCTTCATAGAAAGGGAATGAAAAATTAGGTAATTAATAATAATACTAGTGGTCGCCCATTAGTCGAAATGCGACCATACAAGACAGACAAACAATACTCAATTTGACCAGGGACCTCAACAATAAACAATAGAATATATACATATACTTGTGTGTGTGTCAAACATACAGACATTGTAGTATGCGTAATGTTTTTGATTGTTGATTTAAGTTATTTGAGTTATTAGGCATAATTTTAATGTATTATTAAGCAAAATATTATTACTCTGCAATCCTTCTCTATATAAAGTATAAATGTGCGAAATTTTAAACTCCTCCGACCGTTCAATTTTCATAAAAAGGGGTACAAAGTTTTTGCTTCACATATTAAAATATAGATTAGTGATTATGCATGGTTAATGTAACACTTGGTTCAAATTGATTATATTTTTTATTTAGTTTAGCAAATGAGAGGTTTAGATATAACAATATGTATATACATGTATACTTAATATGAAAATAAACACTTTTCCCCAGATAACGAACGAATGCCTACATCTATATCACACGCGTCTGGCCTCGAGAAATCCGACAAGATCAAGTCGATTTCGAACTTCGACCTCACGTATCCGGACATCAAACCAAAACCCCACGTTAACGGATCCCACGATGATTTTATCAACACCGAAAGGTTGAATGTAGACAAGGAAGGCTCAACAGAAACTCTTACGCCGCCAGTACCAAATCTATCCAAATCACCATTAGATGATTTCAAAGCGAACATCAATAGAATAGATTCACACCATGGGAATTTGGAAGCATTGGGCCGGACCCATAATGAACTACATAAATAAATTATTGTGTAAATAATATTGCACATTACCCCCTTACTTCTTGTAATAATCCATCATGTCTTATAATATAATCTCAGAACAATTCACACAGCGCCATCTAGTCCCAAGGTAAGCCAACTTATATTAGGGGTACTGTTATAACTACAGTTAGACACGATTTATTTTGTAAATACATACAAAATATTCATAGAAAACACCCATGCCAATACAAACTATTATAATCATGAATCCAAATGTATGTACTGTGCGAAGAATCGAACCCGCGAAGGTCGGTAAGGCGGTATAATAAACCTGTAGACCACTGATATCGTCTAACATTTAAAGTCTCGTAAAACCACATTTTAAGTATTGAAATATATTGTCTCTATCTTAATTAATAAAATCAAATGACAAAGCCAAAAGAACTAAATGCATATAATGGGTTTGTTATACGAGTACGTTTGACATTTTAATGAATAAAGATTCAATCTATAAAAATGGCGTCCATTTTTGAATACTTAAATTAAGGTTATGTTTGACGATAGCTTAAGTATTTCGTCAACTTAATTACTTAATCCTAGTGTATAAAGGAAAACGTTAATGTACACATTTTCGTTGAATGTTTTAATTATATAAATTATTTAATAATTGTCTATAGTATCAACACGTATTATAAAATAATAGGAAAGCACGATCTAAATGTAGTATCATGAAAATTCAACGCTTTTAATTTGTAATCTCGTAGTGTCATTATTGTTGTCTATTGTTTCGTTATTAGATATTAAAATGGTGCAGATTATGTATAAGGTAACTTATTTCTTGGCGATTGTCTACTACTATGCAAATTCCAGTATATGTCTGTAGCTTATTACTTTTTAAAATTTAAGTATATTAAATTATTGTCACTTGTCAAGAAAGAGATGGAAAATCGTCTAAGTAGGTATCCACTGACAGTGGTCATCCGCACCCACCTATGGGGATGAAGGTTGAGGCTTTGGGACAAATCCCTTTGCTCCGGCAACAAATCTAGGGGAAACGAACCTCGGAAAGCTGGATTTAAGCTTAAAAACTAACAGAATGCAATTAAAAATAACTTAAGAAGTAGTGCCATACATGGGTACTAACTTTTAAGGTTCTTATTCGAGTATACGTATATAAGCTGTGTTGTGGTGTGAAGGGTGAGACACGACAGTCAAATTATAGGGAAGGGGGATATGTCACGTTGGCCCTGAGTTGTACCACGGGTTTTACGTCACGTGATTCCCGTGGTGCTTGTCACGTGTACAGTTAACGACTTACACTTTCTGTTAGGTGAGCCATCATTTTTGCGACAGAAACGAATCACTTTTAAATGATCGCCATAGAAGTTAAACCCCATCTGTCAACAATATCGGCCTCCTACAAACCTAGCTTTAATTTTATAGTATTTAAGTAACAGAAAATGCAAAAGGAAAATGTAAGATTATTTAAGAATGTTATTGGTTGTGGTACGACGTGGAGATGGTTGTTTTTTTTTATATTTTGTTTCCATAGACAATGTTTGTGCATTTACTATTAAATGTCTGGTCGAAGGATGATCCATTTCAACAAGATCAATATACAATGCATAAATGGATACTATAATTGTCTATGGTAGTAATTTGTTTCTGTTATACTTTCTGGTCATAATTGTTTTTTTTTCTGTTAATATTTTTGTTGTATTTTAAGTTAATATATCTAAATGTATAGTAATAATATGTTTGTACTAATTTGGACTATACGTAATCATTTTCTATAGTAATGTTTGAGACAAATACACACAACTAGTAAATATTTAAGGTGACGATTTTATTGTTGATAATAACAATAAATAAACGGTAATTTGTGATTTTTAGTATTTTAATATCTAAAAATCATAAATTTCCGTGTAATTACGAAACTAAAAAAGTTTTTGGAGTTCTTTGAATTATTTACAATAAATATATATTATTAACATTCTTCTTTATAAATAACCGTTAAAAATTAGACATATTTGTATCTAAATTAGTACAACATATTTTAGTCTGTGATTGTCGATAACTTTAAAAGTACTTAGGCATTAACATTGTCGCTTCGTAGTAAATAAGTTTTCTAAGGGATTTATGTACCTTCGTAACATAGAACTTAATACATATCTGGTACATTTTATAACTGTATATACGTGACTCCTTTGTCCACATTATATTTTCAAAAAATATATCAGGGTAAAAAAAAATAATCTCAATCGCATCTTACTCTCATATAATTATTATTGGTATGTTAAAATTGTATGTACGTATATATCTATGGAAGTGTACCGAATAATTAGTGTTATTGTTGAAAATTGGAATAGAATCTCTACCAATATATCTAATAATTATCTCTGGTACTTCCGTATTTCACTTAAACTTAAAATGACATAGATACATATAGCATTTATTATTAAGGGTATCGGCTTGACACTCCTAAACACAGGTTATAGATTATTCTATCTATGAGGTCAATTCACACATACCCTCGTTGTTGTCTCCTATTTATATTTCATTTTTTATTTATAAGCTAAGTCACCATTGAATGAAATAAAATTTCACATCGCACAAAATATATCATAATTGGATTGTATCTTAATTGCCAAATTTTCGATAATCACTTTTTCAGTATTAATTAAATAGAATTTTTCATTTCTACCTTTCCCATCTAATTAAATTAAGTATTTTTTCTACTATCTTTACAATTTCTTTGCATTACTAACGAAGCATCCCAAAACAATATAAAAAAATTCAAATTATTGTCTACGTTAACCGCCATTTTTGATTATTATTTAAAAAGAAAAAGTAATTATTGAAAAACGAATGTAGAGTAGTATTTCTCGTAAATAGAGAGTAACGTTTAAAAGTCTCACTCTACGAGTTTTCTAAATATTTATCAGTGGATAAATAATATAAGGTGCGTAAAATGGTGCTAATGAATCCATTTCGTATGTGAATGTCTTAGACATTTCAAACTTTGGTGTAACACTAAAAGTAAATGTTTACAAAATTGTATTTTTTTTTGGATGTATGTACATGGTTACTAAATATAATGTATAAGAATAATATCCTGATAAAAAAAGATCAGTTGTCTGGGAACATTTGCCGTTTTTATTATTTCTACCTATTCCAGTGTACATTATATGCACAAATGTAAATATGATATAAATAGTATTCGGTTTTGTAAAAAAACAAACGCTTCACTAATAAAAGCTATTTGTTAATAGATAAAGGACAGACAGAATATTTGAGATCTTATGAAACGGTATTTTGTTGTATGTACACACAATATGTTCGCGGATTTCGATGATTCTTTTTTCTAATGTAGACTTTGCCCGTGGCTCGCAAATATATATAAAACAACTGCTATCGCCTCAGATGTTTTGTTAATAATATGTATTTTCCTGATTATTGTACAAAAATATGTAGTATTATAAAAAATACTTATTTTGTTTTTCTTTTATAAATATATTTGATTTTTAGTATCTAATGTATAAGGCAATTACTCTGTCAATAAAATTTTGGATAGATATACCGTTAAATTTAATATAAAAAGGTCCAATAGGCTATGGCATAATCACTGTATGGTTAGAATCTCACATAAACAAGTTATTGTAGAATTCGCATTTTATGCGAACTCCCAATTTTGGCATATTATCAATAAATTGTTTAACAAAAAGTATGATATACAAAAGTGGTTGCTGCTCAGGTCACATGGTACTAAAACGTTTTTTTTAACTGTATAACGGCATCCTATGCTTTGGTAGATATATATTAGTACTTTTATACATTTGTCTATTAATTCCAAATATTCAGGTATTCTTACCTTCAAATTTTTATTAAATTTCTTGTCTGAAATAAATTTATCACTCTTAAGTTTTCGTTGCTGTAATACTCAGAAATGAACGAACGTTCAGTTAAACTGACTCTTTTCTGAAAAGTTAATAAGATTCGTTCTTTCGTCAATCATTGATCATTTTTAACCGGTGTGGTTTCTAGTCGACTGAGAGTTCGGATTTCGTAACATTTATAAACAATTTAAAATATATGGGACTTACTAATTTTTCCTAGTTAAATCAGAGGTAGGTCACTTGCTCCTTTGCCTTTTATATAAAAAAAAAAAGAAACAATGAAATAGATATTAAAGTACCTAGAATATTATAAATGTACATATTTGAGTATGTAATATCAACATTTGAATATGTGAAGACAATAAATGTAAGGAAATATACTTAATATCAGAATACTACCGAATAAAATGGTTCTATGGACGGAGTCCTTTTGCCTTTCCCGGTAATGGAAAAAAAGGAATCGAAAGAGAGGAAAAAAATGAAAAACACTCTGCATATTAAAGAGGCCTAAGATTTCGAATTTCGAATTCTGTTTAAAAGGTACTTTTTGACAGATGTCAAATTTGTACAGTTACTTTTTATGCTCCAAACCGCAATACGTGACCGTTATCTATGCTTTATATAGGTGAATTCCTTGTCTATGTCCAGTGGTATCATAGTAAAACAAAGCTGTGACAGTCATGTCAATTAATTAGTACACCCATTTGAACAATTGAGAGACAGTAATGAACTTTTTTCTGCTATAAACGGGTGCCATACTAAGTACAAATGTTTACTTTTTAAAATAATATTCCTTCATGTAAGTCTATTTTTTTATAGTATTAGTTGCCGAATACATACGATTGCAAATAATATGTATTAAGTACAACACACTTTCGAATAATTTTATATCGTTATTTTGAATGAATAAATATGTCAAACCTGTAAATTGTTTTTATTAAAATACACAATACTCATGTGATAGTGTGGGACAATGATCCTTTATACCATTAGAATGTATCTTTTTACTTCGCTGAAAGATCCTGTTCACAATGATACGTTTTATAATATATAATTTATAATAATAATAATCTCAGGACAATTCACACAGCGCCATCTAGACCCAAGTTAAGCTAGATAAAGCTTGTGTTACGGGTACTAGATTACTGATAAAAATACATAGATTTTTTTTTTGTAAATACATACATATTATACATAGAAAACACCCAGACCAATGATACAAATGTTTGTGCCGTGGTAGGAATCGAACCCGTCGTCGACCGTCGGAAAGCGGTGTGCCAGACCGCTAGACCACCGAGGTCGTCAATTTTGTAAGTCATGATGATGGAATGGTGCTCTGGCCTATGCTAACAGTATAAACTGGAGGTACAGAGACGGCAGACGATATAATGTGGATGGAATCAGGTCAATTCGATTCGAAATCAAACGTGACGAAATAAGGACGGTAATTTTGATGGTTTCCGGAAGAACCTGACGTCAACATGACCATTATAATTGGATTAGTAGCATAAGGGCCGCTAGGTCCAGTCACTTAGATAATGTAACACAGTCTTTTATCTATATCGCTACACTTGGTGAGTAGCAAGCTCTCGATTGCATTATAGCCTATAATAAAGTTGGTATAGAAGCGATGATATTCACATAAGAAAAAAACTATTATAGCATGCAATTATTATGATATAATTAAAAAAAAAAACAAAACAAAATTAAGCATGTACGAATTAAGCCGTAAATGTGATCGGATGTAACAGACATTAAACAATGGTGTAAAACAATGTGCCGCAGAAAGCGACGAACTCTCTCGGAACGAATCATTACCCTTTTATCTTTTGTAATGGCTTCAACTTCACTTGGCAGTTACAAGTCTAATTCAAACACATGACTGCGCTGTTTGTGTGAAAATTACGAAAATTGAAATACATGGACTCGTTCGATTTGATCAGTATCATGCTGTAGTTAATTAATAATATATATTTTTATATTGGCATCAAATTGCAAATTTGCTGTCATTCTCATAGACTATTTCGTTCTTATGAAATACTAAGCATACATTTCTGAGAAT